GACAGAAGGAAGGGAGGTAGGGAGGTAGGTAGGAAGGAAATCGAACAGGGTAAGTGCAAAGTTCTTCACTCAGGATGAAGAAACCCAATGCACTCTTTTATGTACCCTCCACAGTTATAAGGTGGAGGGTACATAAAAGGGCGCCTAAGGAGGCCCAAGACGTTAACACCAGGAACACGTGCTTTTATCTGTTGTGGCCCCTTCTCTTTGGAACAGGCTTCCAAGAGAGCTTTTTCAGGCACACCCCCTCTCAGTTTTTAAGACATTAGTAAAGAACCGTGTAGATATTTTATTTATGTATTTAAAATATTTATATGCCAACTTTCTCCTGACGAATCTGAGGCAGCTCACAGGATCTAAAAGAAAGAAAGTTAAGAGCCAAATAGTAAATGATTACAATATATTTAAAAAGCATTAAGCTTTTATTATATAAAAACTCATAATGAGAACGATATTAAAACACAAGTAAAGCATGGAGTAAAATGCTTCCTTGGTCAACCAGCCATTAAAAAAAAAAAGCCTGTCTGAAGAGAAAGGTCTTTGCCTGCTTTCACAAGGACAACCACGATGGGGCTCAGCCTGACCTCCAGTGGCAGGGAGTTCCAGAGTCTAAAGGAGCAGCCACAGAGAAGGCCCTTTCCTGTGTCTCCACCAAATGCGCCTTTGAGGGTGGTGGGACCAAGAGAAAACCCTCCGCTGATGATTTTAACAACCAAGTAGGCCTATCAAGAGACAAGGTCTTTCAGATCTGGACTCCCTCTTTTGTGTGGCAGCAGAGCTGGACTGAGAGCGAGAGGATGACCCCTGGCCTGAGGCCCTGAGCAGGAGCCATGGTCAAGGAAGGACTACATGCCTGCTCCAGAGGAGGTGCCTAGCCCAGCAGCTCCATGGCACCTGAGATCATAGAAATCATAGAAAAGTGAAGTTGGAAGGGGGCCTACAAGGCCATCCAGTCCAACCCCCTCCTCAAGGCAGGAATCCCAATCAAAGCATATCTGCCAGGTGATGATCCAAGTTTTTCTTGAATGCTTCCAGTGTTGGAGCGCTCATCAACGCCCAAGGTCACTGGTTGCACTATCCTACTGCTCTAACAGGATATGTTTTTCCTGAGATTCAACCAAAATCTGGCTTCCTTTAACTTGAGCCCATGGTTGTGTGTCCTGCATTCTGGGATGATTGAGGACAGATCCTGCCCCTCCTCCGTAGGACAGCCTTTGAAATATTTGAAAAGGGCTATTCTATCACCCCCTCCGTCTTCTTTTCTCAAGGCTAAACATTCCCAGGTCTTTTATCATTTTCTCCTCCCAGGGCTTGGTTTCCAGCCCCCCGATCCTCCTTGCCACCCTCCTCCGACTGCTGTCAAAGGGTTCCATGCCTGGTCTCAGACTGCACTTGTTTCCCGCGATGGGAACAGAGGCCGATCCTGAACTCCAGCTGTTTCCAGTGGATTAGTGCTGGAAACCTGTCCCCCTGGGGTGCGGGAGGGCAGTGACAGGGAACTGCAGTTGAAGGCACCCACCCAAGAAAAAGCACTCTTACCAGCAACCTGGACCTCATGGAGTCGGTGGCAAGAGATCTCAAGGCCGCCAGTCTCACTGGGGAGTTTAAGGGACCATTGGATGCTGGTCTCTTTTCTGGTTCTGGTGCTGTGAGGTTCACACTCTGAGATACACACTTTATCGGAGACATTTCACACGGACAGGCCTCAAAATAATAATACTGGCTTGCTTTTGTCCAGCGCTTTGTCCAGGTCCTGATTGCTCTCACATAAACCGATAGATGGAGGAGAATGGCCAGTGACATCATATGGCAACCATGTTCTGGAGCTTCTAGAACAACATGGTAGTTAATAGCAACCAAGAGAAAGGAGGACCTCCAAGGACGTGAGGGAGGTTCTACCCAGGATGGAGTGCTGCCTGTCCCAAGGCCTGTGCCTTTAATATAAAAGACATGACTTCATCTTGGCCTCAGGACGCTTTTCGCAAAGAACAGCCCTGAGCAAAGAACAAAGGCAAGAGGTTGGAGCCAGGAAGCCTGAGGCCACATCGGCGAACCCTCGGCAAAGGTTGCTCCGGAAACTGCTCCTGTGAAGATTCGTGAACCTCGTTCTTTGCCTATGGAGGAAGAATGGATGAATCCGAGCCTCCCCTGGATCCTGTTGTCCTGGAAAGCAGGAAAGCAAGTGAAGAGGCGTTAGATACAGAGGAGCAGAAGCCGAATGAAGAAAACAATGAGGAGAACATCAGTGAGGGAGCACAACACCAAGAAAGTGGAGACACCGGGGATGGAGCTGTGGAACCCGACGTGAAACACGTGATGGATGAAACGCTGCAAACGGATAGCAAAGTTAGTGTTTTCAAGCGCAAAGAATTCCTGGACCAAAACGATCAGACGGACTCTCCTTCCGGCACCGTCGTCAACAACACGCCGTCAATCAGAAAACAATCAAGAGGTATCCCAGCTCAAGAGCAGCAACTCCATGGCCAAAAATCCCGCCATGGCAGCCAGCATCTCCCTGGCCAGGAATCCCGGCTAAGCCTACCTGGGCAGGAATCATGGCACAGTCAACAGCTCGTTGGCCAAGAATCCCACCGCAGCAGTCAACACAGCCAGCATCTTCCTGGCCATGAGTCCCGTCGTGGTAGTCAACTTAGTCAACATCTCCCCAGCCATGAATCTCGGCTTAGCCTGTCCGGGAAGGAATCTCGCCGAGGAAGTCAACTCATGGGCCAAGGATCCCATCATGGTAGTCAACAGAGTCAGGATCTTCCTGGGCAGGAGTCCCGCCGTGGTAGTCAGCTTCGTCAGCCGCCTGCGAGCCAGGAATCCCGGCACAGCCTTCCTGGGCAGGAACAGCCTCACCATGGCAGTCTGCCAAGAGAACAACTTCCGGGTCACGAATCTCACCGAGGCAGTCAACAATCTACTGGCCACCAGCTCCCACAAAGTCGAAAGCCTTCGAGAGCCCAACCTGTGGATGAAGTTGCAACCAAGCCTGACATGACGTGGATCAGCCAAAAAACGGGCAAGGTTATGAAATGTGAAAGCCAGCAGACAAGTAGAATCTGGCAGAAAAAACCGCTTGCTGAGATTCTTGAACCTTTTAGTCAACCACCCCCTGAAACTGGGGGTTCTAGGGTGGCAGAAGCTCCTATGCTGTCTGCGTCTACAGAACAGCCCACAGCACCTCCCCTGAGCGATCCAAAGCCAGACAGTGGAGCCTCTCAGTGCAACAGTCAGCAGTCTGAAGAGGAGGACTCTTGGATCAGCCCCAAAACAGGGAAGCTCATGAAATGCACAAGTCAGCAGACAAGTAAAATCTGGGAGCGAAAACCTCTTGCAGAAATCCTTCGTCTCTCAAGTCAAGGACCACAGACCGAACAGGTTGCCGTGGAAGACGTGACACCTCCGGGATCTGAGACCGTTCCTCTCAAGGAAAGAGAAGCTGGACCGACTGCAGAGGTAGATGCTCAGCTTGGCAGCCAAGAAGGAAGCGCATCCCGGCGTGGCAGTCAGAAGGCGGACGGAAAGGAATCACGACGCGGGAGTCAGCCAGTGGGAGGAGAGAAGCCAAGCGGTGATGGTCAGGTGGTAGATCAGAGGCTCCAGACAGATAGCCAAGTGAGTGTTTTTAGGCGTAAGGAACTGGCAGATCAAACTGAGCAGACGGATTTTCCTCCTGGCAGTGTAATAATGAGTGCCACGTCTTTCCAGAAGCTGGAATCCCGGCGTGGAAGTCAACAAGGGCAAGAGTCAAGACGTGCCAGTCAGCAGGAAGAAGGCAAACAGTCTGGGATCCCAAGTGAACAGCCAGAAGAGCAGGAACCGGAGCCAGATAAGCAACACTTGGAAGAGGAGGAACTCAGTGGTCCTGAGGAGCAACCGAAAACGGAAGAAGCATCTCAGCATGGAAGTGGAGAGCTCATTGGACAGGGATCTCAAGAAGCAGAAATGGACCAGAAACTGCCTGCTGGGGAGGACCAGCAGGCACCAGACATTGTTCCGGAGGAAAGAAATACCTGGGTGGATGGGAGAACGGGCGCGAAAATGAGATCTACAAGCCTACAGACGAGTGAGAGCTTGTTCATAGACTACCTAAAAAAAATATATGGCAGTCGATATGTGGAGCCCCCTTGTCCTGAGGGGCCTGGATCAGGTCAGTCTCTTCAGAGAGATGAAGAAAAGGGAACCGAAAAAGAGGAACCAGGACCTTTAGCTGGAGATGTGACAGAAGATGTGCAGCCGGTTTCTGAACAGGAGTCCCCAAAAGACAGCCAACAGCAAGACATGCCAGAGTCCCTTGAGGGTAGCCAACAGCCAGAGACAGCAGAGTCCAGAAAGAGTAGCCAACAGGTAGAGGTGCCAGGATCCAGAAAGGGCAGCCAACAGATTGAGTCAACGGAGTCCCAGCCAGAGGCACCAGGGTCTCGAAAGGGAAGCCAACAACCAGAGGCCACTGAGTCCAGAAAGGGAAGCCAACAACTAGAGGCAACTGAGTCCAGAAAGGGAAGCCAACAACTAGAGGCAACTGAGTCCAGAAAGGGAAGCCAACAACTAGAGGCAACTGAGTCCAGAAAGGGAAGCCAACAACTAGAGGCAACTGAGTCCAGAAAGGGAAGCCAACAACTAGAGGCAACTGAGTCCCGCAAGGGTAGCCAACAGGCAGAGGCAACTGAGTCCAGAAAGGGAAGCCAACAACTAGAGGCAACTGAGTCCAGAAAGGGAAGCCAACAACTAGAGGCAACTGAGTCCAGAAAGGGAAGCCAACAACTAGAGGCAACTGAGTCCAGAAAGGGAAGCCAACAACTAGAGGCAACTGAGTCCAGAAAGGGAAGCCAACAACTAGAGGCAACTGAGTCCAGAAAGGGAAGCCAACAACTAGAGGCAACTGAGTCCAGAAAGGGAAGCCAACAACTAGAGGCAACTGAGTCCAGAAAGGGAAGCCAACAACTAGAGGCAACTGAGTCCAGAAAGGGAAGCCAACAACTAGAGGCAACTGAGTCCAGAAAGGGAAGCCAACAACTAGAGGCAACTGAGTCCAGAAAGGGAAGCCAACAACTAGAGGCAACTGAGTCCAGAAAGGGAAGCCAACAACTAGAGGCAACTGAGTCCAGAAAGGGAAGCCAACAACTAGAGGCAACTGAGTCCAGAAAGGGAAGCCAACAACTAGAGGCAACTGAGTCCAGAAAGGGAAGCCAACAACTAGAGGCAACTGAGTCCAGAAAGGGAAGCCAACAACTAGAGGCAACTGAGTCCAGAAAGGGAAGCCAACAACTAGAGGCAACTGAGTCCAGAAAGGGAAGCCAACAACTAGAGGCAACTGAGTCCAGAAAGGGAAGCCAACAACTAGAGGCAACTGAGTCCAGAAAGGGAAGCCAACAACTAGAGGCAACTGAGTCCAGAAAGGGAAGCCAACAACTAGAGGCAACTGAGTCCAGAAAGGGAAGCCAACAACTAGAGGCAACTGAGTCCAGAAAGGGAAGCCAACAACTAGAGGCAACTGAGTCCCGCAAGGGCAGCCAACAGGCAGAAGTGCCAGGGTCTCGAAAGGGAAGCCAACAGCAAGAGGCAACTGAGTCCAGAAAGGGAAGCCAACAACTAGAGGCAACTGAGTCCCGCAAAGGTAGCCAACAGGCAGAGGTGCCAGGGTCTCAAAAAGAAAGCCAACAGCCAGAGGCAACTGAGTCCAGAAAAGGTAGCCAACAACTAGAGAGAACTGAATCCAGAAAGGGCAGCCAACAGGCAGAGATATCTGGGTCCCGCAAGGGCAGCTTGCCAATTAGGCAGGATTCCCAGCCACCTCTGGAAGAAGCAGTAGAACAACCGCATGTGTCTGAAAGCCAAGCAACTATAGGGAGCATTTTGTCATCTCACGAAGTGGAGGATAAAGCTCAGCAGACCTACAGCGTCATCTCTCTAGAAGATGGGATCTGGCTGAACCGAAAAACAGGCCGGTTTTTGGTCAGTCACAGTCAGCAGACGAGGGATACTTCCCTATTAACTTTTAGTCAGTCAGCAAGGGGAGAGGAAGGAAAAGCTGAATCACCATCGGGACTTGGGACCAATGCTGGGGAAACTGCAGCCGACATGGCAGAATCGGGCCCAATTAGTGCTAAAAGTGAACCCGAGGTGGATGGGGAGCCACAGCAAGTTGCAAGCCCAGCCTGTCGCCGTGATAGCCAGGGCATGTCAAGTCAGGAACTGCCCCAAGACAACCAGGAGGCTCCATGTCCAGAGAAACCTCAGGAAGAAGACCTTCAGGGCACAGAAAATGTCGAAAACGTTCTAAGCCGCCGCTTAAGCGAGGCGACCATACAAAGCATCATAGCTGCGGACGGAGAGGACAAATCTCAGCGGACCTACAGTGCTGTTTCTCTAGAGCAAGGCTCCTTCATCAATAGAAGAACGGGCAGGCAGTTGCAATCTATGGGTCTGCAGACTGATGAGTCCTCCTTTCAGAAGCTTGGGGAAGACCCAGAAATCGGCCAGGATGATGCACCACCGGCTGCTGAAGAAGAAGAAGGCCATGTTTCTGACCCGGCTGAAGGCGAGAACTCAGGGGAATAACAGGTATCCGTTTGGAAGACCACATGGGCTTTATGATGGAGTGGTTTGTGGTGTGAAGAGCTGCCGGTCAAGAGCTTCCTATGACCTGAAGGGACAAATAACTTTGGATATTTGCCCTCTCCTGCTAAAAAGAAAAAAAAAGGCAGAGCAGGTGGAGTTAGCGGGTCTGGGGGGCAGCGCTGATGATGTCTCCAAGGAACCGAGTGGCTCCCTTTGCATCTGGGCAGCAAATCCTAAGGCTGGGAGGAGTGGCATTAAAAGTCAAAATGGGAAAAGAGGTACATTTTTCATGTTTGTTTAAGGCCTGCGTCGCCACGGCGTTTGGGGGCCGCGAGAGAGACCACACCGCGGTGCGTATTTCCTTCAAGGGAGAAAGACGGCCACCGCCAGGTGCGGAGTTTCAGATCAAAAGTGTTCAGGGCCTCGTAGAACTGAATGCCAACAAGAAGCACAAAACAAAACAATAGCAAAAAGAAAGACCTCGCGGCATCTTGAATACTGAACGGCTACATTTTGATGTAAGCCCTTCATTGTTTTGTTTTGTTAACATAGTCCACTTCTTCAGACATGTGGGTTGGCAGGCAGAGTTAGAATACTAGCTCATACGTCTGAAGAAGGGGCCAGGTTCCAGGAAAGCTCACATTAAAAGAGAGCAGTTAGTCTTTAAGGTGCCACGAGGTCGTTGTTCTGTTTTCCATGGCTTTCTAATGCAAGCCTTGTTTTGTTTTGTTACCATAGTCCACTTCTTCGGACATGAGGGTTGGAAGGCAGAGTTAGAATACTAGCTCATACATCTGAAGAAGGGGCCAGGTTCCAGGAAAGCTCACATTAAAAGAGAGCAGTTAGTCTTTAAGGTGCCACGAGGTCGTTGTTCTGTTTTCCATGGCTTTCTGGGTCATGTCTTGAACTCTGGGATGTTTGAGAACAGATCCCGCCCCTCCTATGGATGACAGCCATTCAAGTCTTTGAAAAGAGTTATCCTATCTCCCCTCAGGTCTTCTTTTCTCAAGGTGAAAAATGGTCAATTCTTTCAGCCTTTCCTCACAAAGTTTGATTTCCAGCCCCCTGATGCTCCTCGTTGCCTTCCTCTGAACTCGTTCCAGTTTGCTCCAGCCCCCCGATGCTCCTCGTTGCCTTCCTCTGAACTTGTTCCAGTTTGTAAGCATCCTTCTTGAAGGGTGGTGTCCAGAACTGGACACAGGACTCCAGGTGAGGCCTAACCAGTGCTGAATAGAGGGGGGGCAGCACATTGCAGGATTTGGAAACTATACTTCTATTAGACGCTACGTCTGTTAATGCATCCTAAAACAGCATTTGCCTTTTTTGTAGCCACATCACACTGTTGGCTCATCTTCGGCTTGTGATCTACAACAATTCCGAGATCCTTCTCAGGAGATCGTTCTCAGTCATCATATTGCTCAGCCAGGTCTGCCCCGTGTTGTAACTGTGCCTTTGGTTTCTTTTCCCTATGTTCAGTCCTTTGCACTTCTCCCTGTTGAATTTCATTCTGTTGCTTTCAGGCCAGTGGTCCACCCTATCAAGGTCATTTTGAATTTTGCTTCTGTCTCCTAAGGTATTAGTTATTCCACTCACTTTTATGTCATCTGCAAATTTGAGAAGTGTTCCCTGCATTCCCTCATCCAGGTCGTTAATAAAAATACTGAAAAGCACCTCTGTAAGTGCTGGAGGGGGGGGGGAAGCTATCACCACAGGCCCTGATGAATGGCCTCGTTGGAGGGCCACAGGTCTCTCTCTCTCTCTC